GGCCGGGGGCCGCGCGGCGGGGCTGGCGCCGCCCCGGGGGCGGTTCGCCCGGCGCCGCGGCCCATATAGGAGCGGCCCGGGAGCCCTCGGTGCCGCGTTGAGGTAGGGGCTGTGAGTTGGTGCCTTTCCGTGGCCAAGTTTGGTCTCCCCCCCAAAACGAGTCAGGTGAGCGGGTGCTGTTCGGGGGCTGCTGCCTCTGTGCCCTGGTCGGGGTGGAGGCTGGAGCGGCCCTCGCTCAGTGCTGTCCCCGCAGGTCCGTGCTGTGCCCCGGCTGAGCTCGCTGCGATGGCATCGGTGCCCTCCGCCGGCTGCCTCTTGGCCAAGAACCAGTACTACAGGAGTAAGTGTCCCCCGGCCTCGGCGGGAGGGAACCTGGGTCGCCGTGTGCAGGGCTTGTCTGAGCTTAGGGTGCAGCTGGGAGGTGCTCAAGTGACTTCTGAATGGGTTGGAGGCATGAGGGTGTCTTTAGCCTGGTTTTCTTGCTCTAATCCTGAAGTTTTCTACTGTATCAACAAGCTTTAGTTTTTAAAGCATCTACTCCTGGTTATTCATTTAATATTCCCCTTCAGAATAGATTGGGAAGAATGTGTATTCTTTTATTTTTTATTTTTTTAATAATAAAGTGTGACATTGCTGAGTTGATGTTTCATCTGAGTCTTGTCTTCTAGCTGTACACTTGCTTTGTAAGTTTAGGCAAAGCACAAACAGGTTGGCTTTTTTTCTTAAGAAATGGTTACTGGTTTGAGAGTGAATTTCTTTCAGGATCCTTGGGTAAAGTGTGTTGCTCTGTAGTGGAAGAATRTCATATTTTCAGTTCTGTCATGTGGAAGGTATAGAAATGTGGTTGTCTTATGATCGAATAATCTAGACTCTTCTGTTTTGATAGCAGCATATATCTGATGGTAAGCTTTAACTTCAGTGAAAGATAAGCAAATTCCATCTCAACATCTTTCTGAGTGAAGTAAAAATAGATTGAGAGATGAGCTTACAAAAGTTTTTACTGCAATTGCTTATGTGAAAATAGCTGATGTTGAAATCCTGTGTTTGTAGTCTAGTAAAGTTTTTGTTGGGTATACCATTTCCTTTGAGATATTATTTACTCTGTGAAAACCCTTGGCATGGAATTGGTGTCCTTTCTCAAAGCTTTTTCTTTTTTTTTCTTTTTGTCTTCCATGAGCAGCACGACAGAACTCAGAGTGCAGTGTTTCTTCCAGTTCATCCTTCTGTTCTGATCCTGTGAACGTTACAGACCAGGACAAAACTCTTAATGGTATTGCTTCTTTCTTTGGCTATCTGAATTTTGCCAGTCTGTTAGTCAGTGAGTGTCTGATAGCATTTTCTGTCTTCTGGCAGGTTTACCTGAATTAATTGATAAAAGTTGGTGGATAAAAAGCTTCTTCCATTGTGAACCATCTCCACCAACTGTTGGCCGAAAAACACTATCGGCAAGCAGGTGAGTCAGAACTTGTTTTGTACAATGATGGGAATAACTAATTCCTTTCTCCTCCCTCTAAAGTATTAAATAAAATTAATTTATTTAAAAATAGTACTCTGACCCACTTTTTATGATATAAATGGTAAGGTACTGCAAAGCTTGAGCTGCAAATATTTCCAGTGTTGTCATTTTAGTAAATGAAGTAAGTCTTACAGTAAGACTTTACATTAAGCAGGAGCTAGCAAGTATTCAACTATTGCTGTTCTAAAKTTCTAGTGGCAAATATTTATTTTATCCTCTGTAGTTCTGTTTTGTTTTAAAATAAACTTGACCTGAATACCTCTCATAATTTTTAGGTAGATAAATATTTTTGAAGATGATTATGATAATCTTTTTTTTTTAGTACTAACAGTTGAATGCCTGCAAACTGGCTTTCGTCACTGAGATGAGATACTACCTACAGACTTGTTTKCAAGAGGCTTGGGATCTTCTGAATGTCTGGGTTCAGGTGCATGAAGAGCGCATACCACTTCAAGAGGGAGAAAAGTGTTTCAAAGAATTTGTCAGTCTCTTACAGTATATTGCTTTTATGGACTAGACCATGATTTACTTTGTTCATAGCAATTCTGTTTAAATTTGAAATGCCTCTCATAGAACTTGCCTGGGTAAAATATCCAAATGACCTGCTTGAATTGCTAGAAAATATATTCTTTAGGGGAAGACTTCTGTCTTAAGGGAAACTTGTGTATGGAATGACTTTGCAATATGTGATACTCTTCCATAAATTTTAGCTTTAGGATTACTCTGCAGAGGTTCGCACTGAGGTAAACCAGATACAAGTGTAGCAGCCCTTGTTTGGACTTCGTGGCTAATGCTTTACCAGATGCCTGTGTACCAGCCACAGGTAACAAAGTTCAGTACAAGATGTGATCTAAAATTCAAAGTGGAAGCCCCATTATACAGAAGAAGGTGATTAGTTTGGTCTGTCTTCTGGCTAAACCTCAAATACACAGGTACAATATTCATTCATGTCTATGCATGATTTTAGCCGAAGATAGAAGAGATTGACAAGAAATCCATAATACTAATGGACACTATCTTCCAAGCAGAAGAGCAACTTTAATCAGAGCTGATGCTCTGTCTCACTTGAGCTGTTCTCACCTGCTTTGCAGCTTAAAGAACCACTTGTTCTCAAGTGACTAATCCTATCAGTGTTCACTGCTGCCTGTCAGCTTAGTTTTATCTGGTGTTAAAGCTGGCTTTGAGTTGAATCAAAGCAATCACATTAAAGTTTTTAATCAAATTCACTTCTGTCATTATTATCTCTCTTGAAAAATACCCTAACATATATTCATTTGGTCTTTCACACTGTAAAGCCGTACATCATGACTGCATCATAGTTTATTTGAGTCTTTTAAATGGGCATGATGGAAATGCATGAGAATCAAAGAAAATAACAAGAAATACTTGGCTGGATGACTTTTTCCTTTACTTTTCTATACAACTTGATGAAGTAATGYCGCTAAATAAATTTGATCACTGGAATAAGTGATTTAATCACTGAAGTATTAAGATCAGCCATTATTACCTATATGTAACACTCATTATAGATTAATTGTTCTCATGCTAGAAAGGACAGCAAGTGACTGGCTGAAACTTTATAGTCTTGTTAGAGATAGATACATGTCATAGAAAAATTAAAGAACACAAATCTGGAAAGATGTACTTTTTCAGGAATCCTAAGGATTGACTTATTGCATATCTTTTTTTTCCTATCTTATTGCTATTGTACTGTTTCACCTTTGTCCTTCCTGCATGTACACAATGAACTATTTTTATACTAAATTTTTGTATTAATAAAGAATTAGTATTTAACTTCACTTTTTTGCTCTTTAATATAGAATAGGGTCTAGAGTTTGCAATCTTTGGAGCAGAAAAACTCAGCATTTCCAAAGAATACATAAAGGAGCCAATTTGAACCTTGGCTGCTTTAAAGCTTGTTTTGAGAAGGAACAGGAATGGTGAGACTTAAGGGCTGAGGAGAAGCAGAATAACTCTCTGGTGTCACTGTAAATGAAGTCATAAGGGAATGTGGGGAGAAGACTCTSTCTACTGCCTTTAAAGAGGTGGCTCTTTCTAAAGCCATCACTTGAAGCCGTAGGCAAAAGAAGGTCTGTAGCCCTTATTTGGTGCAAGGAATATAAGATTCAGAAAGAAGGTGAAAAAGTGTAGTGTCAAGCTGTGTAGCTGCCCTTCAAGCCTAAGCTGATTCTGTCCTAATCTTGTTAGAAAGCTGACTGCAAAACAATACTGATAAGATATAAAGGCTCATACAAAAACAYGTTTGTTTGTTTTTTGTTTTCCTTCTTCCTCTCAGAGTGGGGAAATGAGAGGGAAAGGTGTGGAAGAAAAGGAGGAAGGACTTCAATCTGTTTGAACTCATGTACTTGGTCTCTGATTTAAATGGAACCTGGTCTAATATTATGGTGAGACCTCAATTCTGGAAAGCTCTCTGCACACCATCCCTGTCAACTTCATGCTGTGATCAGTTTAGCCTAGGATAGGGTCAGATTTGCTCTTAGTTCCTCATGTTGGCCCTTCAAGGTATAATTACCATGTAATTGATCAACTCAGTTCATGAACAAATCAGTGTCACTATGGCAAACTCTCAAGATGGTAGGAGTAAATGGTATATTGTAGTGCTTTGGTATAAAAACGTCATTTTGGGGTAATAAGACAGTGTCAAATTGTTGATTAAATGTAAATACAAGTTTATAACTTTTTTTTTTTTGTGGAAGCCATAGTGTAATTGATAGTTTAGAGAGAAAATAGAAGAGGAATATAAAGGGGAAATGGAACTATCTTGACAACATAACTTATGTCATCATGTAGCTACCAAGGCAGGTCCAACTCTCATAGCAAAGCTAGGCAGAGATTACTTTTTGGAATAGATTTGATTTTATCAAATAATATATATATATATATCAAATAATTTATAGTAGTGATATTTAACAATGGGATTCCATTTTTTTCCCCAAAAGTAAACTCAAAGCAGAATCTACTGGTCTTGGCATATCCTGTTTTAGGAATTAAAGGAGATTTTTTTTTTATCTCATTCATTTCGATTTGAGAAGGAGGAAATCATCCTAATGACACATTTAGGGAGAGAAATCCATTACCCTCAAGTCATTTCACATGTAGGAACACCRTTATATTCATATGAATTCTATCTTTAAAAAATTTTTGGTTTAAAACATTTCTGACTAATAATTAGTGCAAGGTGCTCAGTCTGTATCCACATTCGAAACTACCTCTTAGAAAAAAAAATCTTCCCTGACTTTTTACAGAGAATGCTTTTTTATTGTAAATTGTATTACTGTTGTATTAGTACTAGCTGGTTCTTCAGTGACACAATATGATCCTTATTAGATGATTAGGAAATACTGTACTAAAATAGCTTGAAAATTTGAACTCTGATAGGACAAAATGTAAAAGGATACTAGAAAGAGGGAGTTACAAATTCTGCTTAGTAATGTTGTGATGATCAAAATAGCAACGCACTTTTTTTGTATTTTTTCAAACTTCAGCATTTTTTCAAGGATCTTATTGCTTATATGTGAACTAAGCAGAATTTCTGGTAGCTTCATATTTAATATTGTGTCATGCTATAAATGATCTATGAGAAAAAAAAAGAAAAATACCTGAAATGACTGCAGGACTTTTTGTTCGTTTGTTTTGTGTCCATCTCTGTGTCCACATTTAAGAAACATTTTCAATAAAGRCATTAACAGCAAATCAAACAGCAAATCAAATTTAAACTGAGTAGTCAGGATTTTTTTTTAATATGTAGTGATTAAGACTTCCATGAATGATTTACTTCAACTTTCACTTGCAGCTTCCTTGGAAGAGTCATTTCTCTTTCTGATATTAAAATACCAGAATAATTTTAAGTATATGCAAATCCTTCTATATGCAAATGCTTCTATCTTTTTTTTTTCCCACAATGTTAACTAATCATACATTATTTCTTCATAAAAAATAGGATTTCTCTGCTATAATCACTTTTCTACAAATGAAAACCCAAGTAGCATTATTTCAACTATTTCTTTCAGGTTTAATAATGCACAACATTCATCAGATTATTGTGTTTGCATCTGGTGACTGAAAATTTTGACTGTGGTATTGTTCAGTGCTCTGCATGACTCTTCTGTGATGAGAAAATTCTGTTAGATTTCTCTAGTTATGTACTTCATGATTTGCCATTTGAAGTTCATCCAGCAGTAGTAGATGTGAAATACATTGCACATAATCACTGGAGATCTCAGTAACAGAAAGGGGCTGTTACTAACAGGAGACAGAACCAGGTGAATATACTGGGAAGAAGTTAGGGGAAAATATCTTTCCAATCTCCTATCTACCTCAGAAGCCACAGAAAATATAAAACATTATTTCCCAASCTTATGCCAAAGACAAGATTCAGCTCCTCATCACAATACTCAATGATGTGTTCAGAGATGCTCTATTTGCTCTATGCTCTATTTTTGAGCATAGTTCTGTTATCATATGTAGAAAGAGTAGTATCTACTTCTCATAGCTAATTCTCTTAATTATGAGTATTTTGTAACCTGCATTAACTGTATATTATTAAACTATTTCAGATATTAAACTATTTCTATCTTTTTTTTTAACTTCTAAATTGTAAGTTTTATAGTAGCAGAGAAGTGAAAGGATAATGCTAGGGGTACAGTACACAAGAAGCAAGTTGACTCAAACAGATATTTTCCTATTATATTTTAACTAGTCTAATTTAATGCCACCCTGACTCCAATCTCACTTCCCAGTACTTTTAAGTTCATGTGGAATTACTCCTACATCACGCCAACCGTAAGCCTCAGTAGCTAGACAGTTTCTTCCTGACAGTAACAGATTGAATGAAGTCTTGAATGTAACAGGCTAGGTAAATGTAAGTTATATGTGGTAATCTCTTTGTGTTCTGTCACAATGAAATGCTTGCACACAAAATATATGAGCRATTTAAAAAAATAAATGTTCTCATTATATACGTTCCAGAAATATATTTTTCTAGGTGAAGCATTAGTTGCTTTGTGCTTCTTTCTAATTTTGTTACAAAAGAATGACAAACTGAAATGCATTAAGAAAACAGATTGTAACTTTCACTACTTATTTTTCTTAGTTGACACAATTATTGTCCTGCATTAATCTTCTGTCATTGTTGGTTAATATATTTAGTGGGGCCAGTTATTTGTACACTGCTTATCTATTGCTCTACTGTGTAACAGGAGTGTTATCTAGAGGGGACAGCTCTATGGTGTAAATATTATTTTTTAAACAACTACACTCCATTAAAACAGAGCTCCTGTGACTAAGAGGGTTACCTCAGACAGTTACAGATGACTGTAACTCTCTCATGAAAAACAATCAAAAGTTCTTTATTCTGTATTTTTAGAACGTAACATTGGATATAGCATAACAAGAGTTACCATGAATAAGAACTACAGTCTTGGACAAAATTAGCCAAGGCTTTTGTCTGCTGAGATCAGGGCTACCTCTATACTTCTATCCCCTACATATTCATCTTGCTCACATACATTACATGCTATCATTTATTTCATCCTCTGGATAGAAGAGTTGTTTGAGATTTATTTAAACTGAAGGCAATTCTTCTTCAGTGTCTAACCCTGAAGTCAACAGAGATCAATAGTGCTTCTCATAATAAATTAATGTAAATTCTTTGATGATGTACTTGAAGCAAAACATTAAAAAGGTCACAAAAGGAACAGGTGTGATAGTTGTTTCTACCAGCCTAAGATCCTAATTCCAAATATACAGATAGCGATAAATGGATAGATTGGATAGATATGGCTCAAAGGGATAAAGATAAAGCAAATTCTTTCTTTCCCTATTTTTCACATGATCGGCTACCTTAGGCTTCCAAGCACTCTCACAGTGAGACACTCAAATGTGAGACAAAAAGCTTCTGTAAGTGCTCATCCCTTCCAGTTCCTCTCTGCACTAATTAATAACAAAACAACCCGTCTGCTCGTCCCCTCCCACAAACAACAAAAAAAAAGTTTCTGTGGCTGTCCACAGATAGTCAAACTGTACTACCATCATTCTAATCTATTTAATTTATTTATTTATTTATTTTGTCTCTTCGCATCCCCTCAGAAGGGCAGTCAGGACAGATAGCACTTCACGAAGTTACTCACCTCCAGCACACCCACCTTTCTACCTCAGGTTAACAGCAGACCATCTCATTTACTGTGATATAATCTAGACTATATAATAACCCGTAAAGATGAGGCACCTCCTGATCCCATTTACATAGAGGCAACTCTCAAGGAAGGTAATTGGATTAAAAGATTGCATGCTCTCATTGTAAAATAATGGACAGAAATGCATAGTAGTCCTTTTATCTCCAGGAAAAAAAAGTTTTTTTTTATTTGCTATTAATAGTTTATTTATTTTAAAATATTTATTTAAAATAATAATTTATTTATTAGCTTTTATTTGCAGAAAACATCCCAGAAACACGTTGGCAGGGTATACTCCTTTGATGGCTAATGGAAATTTTATTTAGGACCTCTTATATAGGCTACTGTACTCAAAAAGCACTTTCCGTGTTTCCTTCACTCCAGTTCTATGGTCAAATTACTTTAACAAGGATTAAGTCCGTAAGGGGAACATGATGAAGTGCTATAGCCAAAAACAAAGTAAAAAACCCTAAAACTCTAGAGAGGTACCCAAAGCGCCTATACAAATTGTAATGCTGTGACTTTAAGCGGATTTTTTTTTTAATTTATAGAATTTCAGTGGAAAAATAAAACAGAAGAAATATTTCAAAGCTTT